TCCGCAATATTCTCTCCCAAAGTATTCCTTCCGTTCAACTAATCATTCAATTCATGACAACTGTATTAACACTTAATATACGAAACACATCCCAAACCCCACTATTTCTAGGCATACATTCATATCAGTTTCCGACACGTATTCCCTCGAGTATTGTTTGACAAAACAATTTGCATTTTCCTCGTACTTTGCATCTTAATATTTTGTGAACCAATCGTTTAAATTTCCTTTTGAATCATATTTAACACCTAATGTATAATATCCGATATTAATCATAAAGAAAATGTACATGGTAATCCATACTGACCCCAATGATCAAATCCATGAGTAAGCTCGTGTCCGATAGTCTGTGAAATAATAATTTTATTATTTAAAAATTATCATTTCTTTGATGTAATTCAAATCCAATTACCCATCCAATGGCCCCATAGTTGATGGCAGCCGGGCCATTGCTATATAGATGGGGTGGTTTCAGAATAGTGGCCGACAATACTTAAAACAATAGAAATTATCATAAATGTAAATAATTTAATTTTAAACAAGACTTGCAAGCAATGCTATAGAAACCCGCATTTACATTTGTGCAAATAGGTAATCAATCTATTATATCTTCAATTATTACTTCGTAAATGCGGGTAAAAATTTACGAAATTTATAAAATTTCGTTTTAACTCATCGAGCATATTAATTTAATCTTAGAAACTTAGTAAGGTGGTTATATTACTTATAGAATTGGATTCGTATTCGTGGTACGCGTTCACATTGACAGGTGATTGTGGCCAACTAGTAGATCAATCAGTAATTTAATAAAGCAATAAACTTAGAAAATTGTCATTAAATACTCTTTAATTGTGTCCACGAGTTGTCCAATTGATTGCATATTTCGTGCGACACAATTGCTTTGCATATAAACCATAGCCTCGAATGACTTCTTGGGATTCACTCTAAGTTTCTGTATATTTATATTCAAAGGTCAATATAATTATAATAATGATTGAATCAAAAAGTACTAATTGATAATAGTTATCCAGTTTATGTGTAGTGAGCATTTTAAAGTAAATAATAAATACTTACATGAATGCGATTCAAACGATTATCCATAGAGTCTGTTAAGACTGACACTACGAATACAGGCGACGATTTAGATATAATCACGTGTTTCACAAACGCGTCCTTCCAATCAAATTCACTGTCATTATAGCCACCCGACTGTCCCATTATAGGCCAACCGCCCACTGATTTCAGTGCCTCTATAAGAGGGGTCATTCCCTGGCATTACGTGTTTCTATACAGATACAACTCAATTATAAATAAGTTATCAATAATTTACTACAAATGAAATGAATGTCCGAAACCTTCATCAATACACGCCTTATAGAGATCGGAGGCATAGGTCACAGCATTTGAATCACTTGTCGACCAGTTTTTACTCAACAATATATTCATAGATTGGGAAACATTGTCATTTAGTATGACAATACTATCGTACCATTTATTATCATCGGGCAATGTATGGGACGCCTCCCAACTAGGGCTGCCAAATATTTTTATGGCCTGGGAGGACAAATAGTCAAAATTGATTCTGACCAGGAGGACATTGGGAGGACAAAATTATAAAATTGTTTTAATTTTAATGCTGCTATAAATTTTTACTACTAGTGGTCACACTATAATTACAATTCCAATCCAATACCCTACATATTGTCCTGCTAACAATTATTTCATAATTTGTTTAAAGAATGATTACAAACTCGTTTGGTTATTTTCGTGAATTTCGGAAAGTGAAAATTAAATGAATATTTTTCATTATATTGACAATTATCTCTGGGAGGACATTACATTGTCCTCCTGAGACCCTCGGGAGGACTGTTTTTTGAGGAGCCGATTGGAGGACAATCCTCCCAAAGGAGGACGTTTGGCAGCCCTACTCCCAACCGCCGAACGCGAACGCATAGAAGTCATGGCACGGATCGACCAAATCGTTGAGATTGGCTTTCAGTGCCATTCCCGCGGATTTACATACCGGCGATTGGCATAAATTGGTGTTAGGTGTAGGTGTAGGTGTAGGTGTAGGTGTAGGTGTAGGTGTAGGTGTAGGTGTAGGTGTAGGGTCAATAGTTTGTTTGTGTCGGACGGATAAAATAACCACAAGTATTATGAATGCAATTAAACTAATTGATAGCAAAATGACCTTAAAATACTTATGATGTGTCATTTTTAAATAATTTAACTATTACAATATTTTGCAAATACTTTATAAAGCTTCCTTTCAATTTATATTTATATGATATAAGTCAGGAAGTTTTTTATACTAAATATACCAGTATCATTACGTTAGGAATGTGTTATAAAAAGATTACTTTGTTTTACAAACTAATTATTGCAATTTTCATAATAATGATGTCATTTCAAATCATACAGATACATATTTCAAATACTGTATTGGACTTTTTATAGTTTTGCCCTTTTAAAAAAATATAGTCATTTGTTTCACCTTACGTAATTTTATATAATAAATGTATTCACTATATACCTCCAATCAATTTTTTAAAATCTGTCATATAAGTCATATAATTATATAATGACTATAATTATATTATAACTATAATTATATTAATGCTAATTGTCGGATGAGACTGCATTTAGTCTATGAGTGAAATTCAAATACAAATGTAATTATTTATGAGCAAAAGGGTCGTTCATACGTACGGATGCGTATGAAAGGAAATACAGCTGTTGTNTGTTGTGGTGTGTATTGCGAGACATATGGCAGTCGTTGTGGTTCTCCGTATGTCTTGACGTACGTCTGAAACGCGCGGAACGACTCTCTGAGGCCTCCGTTGTCCGCAATATTCTCTCCCAAAGTATTCCTTCCGTTCAACTAATCATTCAATTCATGACAACTGTATTAACACTTAATATACGAAACACATCCCAAACCCCACTATATCTTATCCATACATTCATATCAACTTCCGGTACGTATTCACTCGAGTATTGTTGGATAAAACAATTTGCCTTTTCATAGTACGTTGCTTCTGAATACATAGTGAACCAATCATTTAGATTTCCCTTTGAATCGTATTTAAGACCTAGGTATGATATCACATATGAATCCTACTGAAAATGCTAAATATCAATGCATACTGACCCCAACCACCAAACCCATGGGTAAGTTCGTGTCCAATAGTCTGTAACAATTTGTGTTATTTAACAAATATCCTGTCCATACAGTACGGTATTATTTCAAATGTAATTACCCATCCAATGGCCCCATAGTTGATAGCCGCCGGGCCATTGCTATATAGAAAGGGTGGCTTCAGAATAGTAGCCGGGAATACTTATTAAGAATAAATAAAAATAAATAAATATGATTTTAAAAATATTTGTTAACTATTTAAATAAAATATTCAAAGCAAATAGATTTTCAAAATATTTATAATGTCATCATGCTACACTAAAGCTAAATTATTTTATTGAATGAATTTATTTTAAAAGTGATTCATTTAACCACTGTTTATATGTTTATTACTGATTGAATTGGATTTGGGGTCTTGAAATGCGTTTACTTCGATGGGTGAGCCTGGCCATCTAGGTAAGTAAAGCATAATTAAAGTAATCAATTAGTTTGTTACTTAAATACTTGCTCTCCAGTGATGTCCACGGGCTGTCCAATTGATCGCATATTTCGTTCGACACAATTGCTTTGCATATAAACCATAGCCTCGAATGACTTCTTGGGATTCACTCTATGTTTCTGTAGATTTATATTCAAAAGTCAGTAAAACAATAAACATTATAACAAATAATGATTAGCGATTATTCAATAAGTACGTACGCACTGGATGGGAGAGGGGGATCAGCCTAGACATGTGTAATTATGTTAAAGTCCTATATACGAGGGGATTAAGTAGGGAATAGATTTTTGTACAAATTTTTGAGTAACTACTTATTGAATGACCTCTTACTGAAAAATACAAATTGATAAAAGTTGTCCAGTTCATGATTATTGAGCACCCAATCGGGGTATCCAACAAGCTCATTCATTGTATTTAATTTACGTAAAGCTTGTAATCTGGTGATCATATCCAACCAGTCTTTCCCTTCAATCAACTCGTAATAAGCTTTCTTAACGTCTCGGATATACCTTAAAACCTAAATTAATGTATAAAACCTTCAATATCTTACGAGTTAATGAATATTGTATATAATGTGTTACAAATTATAACAAACCTCTTGTCTATCATTTTGTGTGAAGTGTTGGTCGACGTATAGGCGACTCAAAACGTATGGCAATTGAGATGATATGCTGGCCGTACAGCTCCTCCACAACTCGACATCCTTTTCCACTCCAGTAAATAATTGGTTGAATTTGAATCTAATATCCCTGAACTGTTTGGTTGTATGTGAACCTAAATTCATAACTAATTTCCAGCCGAAATAGTTGGCAATAACTCTATTGGGAGTTGTGGTCAACAGTTGTGTTACATTCATATAATAATAATTATCCTCAACGATCACCATATCATCGCTTTTCATACGAATTGTTTCATTCAATTCCTTGTATACAGTGTTTGTTATGTTCAGCCAATCGACAGAATTATTCATCAATTCATTAAACTTTTTGAAGGATACCTTCTCGTAAAACACATCCGTACGTGAAAACTAGAATAAAAGTAAATTTACAGATTATTTAATTAAAATGCTAAATATTAAATTACCTGAGCTAATTTGGTTTCAAACTCCACTATATTATCAATGTCTATTTTAGTTTGTGTGCTATACTCGGCGCCCAATAGTAGCGCCGATTGAAGCATATACTCCTCGTAGCCTCTAATATAATCAATATAATCGTGTGGATTTAGAAAACGACTCCGGTGCAAACCTAATGTTGGCCTCGAGAACTAAATATTCATTAGATTTGAACATTTAAATTAAATTACATATTAAACAAAGTAATGAATACTTACATGAATGCGATTCACGAGACTATTCATAGAGTCGCCGGAAACTGACAGCGCGAATACCGGCGAGGATTTAGATATAATCACGTGTTTCACAAACGCGTCCTTCCAATCAAATTCACTGTCATTATAGCCACCCGACTGTCCCATTATAGGCCAACCGCCCACTGATTTCAGTGCCTCTATAAGAGGGGTCA